TTGCTCTGTTCTAGATACTTGGAAAAATCCACAAATCACAGTATACATTTATGTGTGGGTTTCTTTGCCAACAGCTGCTAGATGACTCAACTAATCAATTAGAGTTCTGATTTAAACATGATATTAATTTGTTGATTCAATAGATAAAGTATAAAGGCTCAGATCATAATCTCCTTCCTGCAGTTATGTCTTTTTGACCTTGAAGGATGTATTAAAAATCACCTAGGTGCTAGAAAGGCTATTGCTTAGTTTCCAGTTTGAACAGTTAATAAAGCCTGTGGATATGGAGGCACTAATGAAATAAAATGAAATAGAATTGGGGTTTGTTTCAAGTTTTAAATAAAAGTTGAGTTTCATATTTATTAATATGAAGGCTGGCAGAAGTTCTGTTCAAGTTGGTAATAACCCTGTGCCCACTGGTTTGATTGATAAGATGAAGTTCAAATGTATACGTAACTAGTAAGTGCTGCATTTTTACTTGCATAGGGATAGGGGGACATTGTTGTTCTGGCAGCTGCAAGAAATCTTTGTCTGAATAAGGCCCACCTTTGGTGAGAGGTCTTAACGGCTCCCAGGTAAAGAATTTTCTCTCTTCCTCCTGCCCCGTCCCCAAGTCTCAGGTGGTACCAGTAGAACCTATTCTGTATAACAGAGGAGCGGAGCTGAGGCTGTTCAGGAGAAAGAAATGGATGGTAGTGAGGGAAATAACCTAGGAGGATGTGGCAGGGTAAACTAGCTTGGAAGTTAAAGAGGAAAGGTCAGAAGTAAACCTTGGTGGGTCTGGACACAATGACTACCAGAAAAATAACGTCTGCTGGATTTGTTTTAAATGTACTTGAGTTCCATGAAATATTGCCCACTTCTCATATCCCTACAAACCTTCATTCCAATTAAAAATTCTCAACATTTTTTTGTGGATTAGTCTTCTCCTGAAATCTGGTGATGGGAACCAGGTTTCTTTATTAGCTAAAAGGTCAGGGATGCATTGACTTCTGTACTATTTACTATTTGTTAATTTATTCATTCCACATTCCACCTGACTTTGCATCGTTTTATGTGTTGGGTTCTATAGATGTGAGGACAAAGGCATATCATCCTCCCCTTCAAGAAGCTCAAAATATGGTGAATAAAGACGAGTAAATAAAAAATTATACACCAGGATGATACATGTTTAAGAGGAGAAGCACAGCGGCTATTAGAGCCTTTAGGAAGGGTAACCTGACATGGCCTCGGGGGTGAGATGGGGATGGGCAGGAAGTAGATGGTCATAGTGGAAGGTTTCCAGAAGGGAAGATATGTGAGCCAAATTTTGAAAAAGTGGGAGTTAACTGAGTGAGGATGAGGGGGAGGCCCCAGGCTGGGGGGAACCCACACAGAATCTTAGAGACATGTGGAAACCCAGTGGGCCTTCATGTACCTCAGCACGGCTGGGACATCGTGTGGCACATGGGGAAGACTGAGAGACTTGGCGGACTGGCAGATGTTGAAACTTAAACATAAAGAGGTCTATTTTGCTTTACTAAGGAAATATGGATTTATGTCTTCCTGGATGGAAATGGGATTTTATGGAGGTAACTAAAATGAAATCCACCTATTGTGGCAAAAGAAGAAAAAGAATTGAGATGGGATGTGAGGAAAAGGAAAAATTATGAGAGA